AATAGTGATTGACAACGTTTTGTTTACTACTTAACTTAATCTATAAAAAGAAGTATTTAGATTATTTGTGGATGTACTTACTATGAATGTTGGAAAACTGTTAGAGCATTAAAAAATTATATAAGTTGCAGTCATAAACGTGTATAAGCGACAAGTAAAACGGTCGTTTGTAGGAAAACCGTACAAATGGCGGTCGCGAAGCTCCAGTTTATGCGTATTATTTGCATTCCTATCTTTTTGTATGAACCTGAGGAACGATACATCGTTATGTGGTGGAAACGAGACCGTCCGGGAAATTATGCGGCGACGTTAACATCGGTTTTGATATTACGCTGAGAAATATGTTACAATCTAATTACTCTAACAGTAGGTTAATAAAAGGAAAGAAAGTATATTATTAAGTATCTGGAGTAAAATGATTTATACAATATTATCAGAAAAAATCTATAGGCAATTATTTTGTAATTCATAGGCACTCGCGCACGGCTAGAGGATGGTAGAGAGATTTCTTCAGGATATCGTACAACTGTGATGCATCCTCCATCCATAAATACTCTTTATAAGAGCTTTGAGTAAACTATTGCACAACTGTTGCGATTATCGATTGTTTCGCAGTCAATTCAACTGTTTAGTTGGACAACAAAAGCCGAATAGTGTGCGCACCTCCATATAAGCTCATAGGAATCAAAGCGCGACTAAACAGTCGTACGATAGTTTAGTTTAAGGTGTGCGCGCACTTAGACATGAAAATTTACTTTCTAAATAATCAAAGAGACTAACAATCAAAATTTACATTGTTTACAATAATAATAAGAATGCTCAATAAAGGTCAAATAAATGCATTTTTTCGTAGGCATATAGAGATCAAGATTATCCGCTGTTTAGGCTAAAGCACTTCTCTTTGTCTAGAGGGTACCTATTTTTCTATACAAATATTCTAGCACTGGATAGTAGAAAATCAAAGCCACGTTTATCGCCTCTATTCCTATCGCTTGTACTATATTTTGCATGATTTAATCGCTGTAACATTATTATTGACATTAAGTTTTCTCTTTACCTCAATACTTAGTTATCTGGGATACCGGTAGGCGGTGCGGGCGGCGGTGGCATAGCATGAATGTTGTACACTGCATACTGTTATATTAACGGAATCTCTTATTATCTATCGATGACACAACTGAGAATACGTCACACATCGATATCTTTTCAATATCGATGAGTAAGCGTTTTTGTATATGGTCCCTGCTATGTAATTTATACCACTGGACCACTGCCGAATGCTAACTAGAATTTAAAATTTTAAAAAAAAATTGTCTTCATTGTTAATGAATTGTCTGTTTAAATAGTTCCAATTGAGATGTCCCATGTTCATAGTATCAAAGCTACAGTTACTAACATAATTTAAGCTTGGTAAGCGCTTTCCATAGCTACTCTACATTAGCTGCAAGTAGGGCGGCTGATAGCTCGACCGCTTTCTCATTGCCACCGCCAACTAATCTAGACAATTTAAATGGTAACTAAAACTTAGCATACTCTTTTACAAGCAATGTAGTTTAAATAAATTCCAATACACTTTCTTTACCTCATCAGGTATGAGTTATATTCCTAAATATTTATTTGCTACGATCACGTAAATTGCAACCGATGTAAGCAGTATCAGAAGAATTAAAAATGTTATGATTGACTCACATTTCTTTTCAAAACGCCACATCTCGCGAAGTCAGTGATTTGAAGTCTGTAGAGCAAGTTGGTGGGGTCGTTTAGCTCCGGTCGTATTTGACAAAATGGGTCGACGATAGGATCTGTGGAGCGGTCGTCAGCGAACAGTGGCGCCCCCCTGAACCCTTCGGGCTTCCGCAACAACGCCGTTACAGAATCACGGGTCCCGGTAGCCCCGCTCGCGAATGTGCATTGGATGTCCGTAACTGGAATTAAATAATGTTTTTAATACAGATTTACAAAACAAATCGTTAATTTACGTTATACAGAATAAGTAAAGAAAACAATAAGTTTTAAACAAACCGATTTAACTCATATTTAAGACCAACTCTTTGTTGTTCACTTTAAAAGGCAACTAACATAACCTAAAAGCCACTATGAATTAATTAAAACAATAAGTTACGTTCGTACATTTCATTAAATTACAGTAAATGGTTATTACAACGTTAATTAGTAGTGAGGTACATTTGAACCCCAGCGAGTATGTAGATAATAAAAACTGTAAATGTCATAAAACAAGTAAGTGTCAGAATGCAAGTTTGTAACATAAACATAATGCTAAACAATTTGTTGTAACATTTTGTACCACAGCAGTAATTATGTGACGATAGTCAAGCTTAGATGGGTCTAGTATGCAGAAAGAAGTCTTCACTTTTTCAAAAAGCGAAAAATATAAAAATATGTGACAAAAGAACTAGATATTTAGCTTGTGTCTTAGAATAGATGATAATGTAACTTTTTAAAACTTCCTACATGCATAAAAAAAAAGTCTGAATTTAGTAATCAACTACATTCCCGAACTCGATCGTTCAATTTAATTACATAAACATTCCCTTCCTTAGTACAGAGTTCTCTTGCTAAATGTACACAAAGCAACTCCCATAGTGATCACTTAACAGCTCTAAGTGGGACTTAGTGATTGTACATTTAATTAATTATCTTCTTACCATCGTAGTCCTGTGCCGACCCCGCTCCGATCTATAACAATACACATTGAATTTAAATAAAAGACCAATAGATAATTGTTTACATTGTTTGTGAGCTCCAATGGGAGGAACAAGCGCTCTTTTGCTTATCTGAAAATCTGCAATCTTTACAACTACCTACATTTTCAAAGAACACTTTAAATAAACGCAAAGATTCTGTTTTAAAACTTTAATAATGAAATTCTAATATAACGTTTACTAATTGTACTTTCCATTGATGTATTTCAGATTTTTTTAATATACATTTTCTTTTATCTTTTCAGGATACCGTTAAATATGATTTGAAAGCGGTAAATTTTGCAATTGTTTTATTTTTATTTTTATTTAATTTACATATTTAGATTTTAACTTTCTTTTTTTTTAAACTACTCTGAGTAAAAATTGTCTTAATTGAATAAAAACTTTATTATTTAATGTATTCAGTTATGAATGTTTGTTACTCTATCTTGTATAGGAACTTCTGATTCCGTTATAAAAAGTAGTATATAGAACCAACATGATCGTGACCAAATCAAAGCGCCTCCAATTACACCATGAATACTGTACCGTCAATTATACTTATTTTGTTCAAAAAAAAAATTATCTTAAAACAATCGGTTACGTGAAGGAACAAAGGAAATAAATAAATTGAATTCGGATGCATTTATTTCCTGTTCTATGTTAATGGTTTAAATCATACTAATATTATAAATACGAAAGTTTGCTAAGTCGATTTCCTAAACAGGTAAACGTATCTTGATTAGAGCATAGTCTAGAAAAACACATACCATATTTTTTAAATTTCGCGCAAACGCAAGTAAAACTTGAGGGAATAAAACAGATGAAGGAAGGAAGTTGAGCGAGGCGATGCGAAGACAACAGAATAGATATGCGATGCCAAAAGTAAAAAGCCTAATAACCGTTTGAATACTGTCTAAAAAACTAATAAATAATCTAAGTACTTAACTCGAAAGTGAAGTATCAGACTTTATTAGTGAATGTTTCTTTCTAAAAGTATTTAATCCAGATCATTGTCCCGGATTAAAAGCTATCTCTAACGAGAAAGGTAAAAAGGTGAACGGATATTAACCGGGCCGCACGTCACTCTTAAACGTGAGGTCGGAATAGGGTTACCATATAGGCTGGTTACGATCACCGTGAACTCTAAAGATAATCCTTCATATCTTAATTCTGATCTTATCTTCGTGATTTTTATTTCTATGTTCGTATATAGAAATTGTTATTTTGTTGTCTTTCGTGGGACATTGCTTTCTCACGGCACTTATATTATATTTATCTGTCGCTTACTATTTCTGTATTTCTCTTTCATATTTTACGAAACTTTTACTTTAAGATTGTTTATGTTTTACTTTCGTTGCCCTTTTTATTCACAAAATTATGGCAACCCTAATCTACAGTGATACTTTGTTCAAATAACAATTTGTCTAGAGAAATTCGCACCATTGTGTTCTTGTCTAGACAATTAGCAAACATGCCTCTTATATTGTTAAGTGTGAAATATCATATCATTAATCTTAGGTTTTTTTTTAATACATATTGTTCCCAATTTTGTTCAGATTAATTTCAACATTGCTTACAAATTGATAGTCTATTAATCTAAAGAATATTTACAATGATTTAACAGCTTCGGAGTTTTCAAGAAATGAGGTTATTTCTGTGTAATAGTCGAATGTACTGTGACGGTTGTTATGGTGACGACTGAGACGATGGAAGGTAATCAATATGGATGACGCATGCCTGTTGCGTCGACCTTACCTGAGTGGGATAAGGACAGGGAGATGAAGATACGTATCGATTAAAGTTAATTATAGAATCGAAACATACCTGGCTATATCATTAAGTACCTATTGTTCAACTCCTACGAAAACTTCCAATATTAACACGTTTACTGCAGCAAACAAAATCATAATTCTTCATCTGGTGCGACATCGGGCCAAAATGCGCCCCCAATGATATTGCCACCAGTGCGTGGCAGGTCTTTCTAGACCCACCAGCACTAGGATAGATTAAATAACTATAACTTCATGGAAACATAATATATACTTTTTATTTAATGTAATGTATACACCTGAGATAATCATTTCGCACTAGCGAGAGGGACATAGTTTTCTTCGTCTGCACCAGCTCAAATACTGCAGCAGGCCGATGTCGGCCTGTTATACAGTGAACGTGTTAATGTTTTAAGAGTCGTAAAAATAAGATCAGAAGTCGATAAAATTTCATTTAGCCATTATACCGAAGCTATAAGATACCGAGCAGTGAAACGAGTCTGTTAAATGTTTGTATGTAAATACACAGACGAATAAACGGTTTTTTTTTTCAATAGACACATACTTACTGTCTGTTTATTAAGCGTGAAGACTTTAAACGGTATTGTTCTTAAAGTTACAACCTTGATGATGCTCAAATCGTTTTTTTTGTGTTACATTTTGTTATACATAAGCTTTATTATTATAGATACATAAACATAAAAGTATATTTATTTTATCGTGAGTTATTTTCAAACACAAAAATCACTTTATAAAAATAAAGCGCGGTATAAAGTCAAACTTAGGAAGAAACTGAGTATAAGCAAATATTAGTACAAATTTTGCTTATAACTCACCTTTATTCGACATTTATTCGACATTTTCGTCCCTTCAACCTATGTAATTTAAAGTGGCCAAATAAATTTACTATACGCCAAGAAAAGTTTTATTCCAAACCAAACACCGCAAAAAGTTGTTAATATCTACATTTTAAAGATATATGTCTAATAGTGAAGTGTCTCACGATGGCTTATCATATTCTCAGGTTATTTGGTGTAATTGCAAAGACGTTTTGCGCAACCAGACGCGGAAATGATGTTGTCTTTTGCTTGTTACCTGATAACATCTTTATAATTTGTTAAATATCATCTTTGAGATAAGATTAAAAATATTATAATATTATTCCTAGCGCTGTAAAGTTAATGCGATATAGTATAAAACGCAAAAAAATCAGACAACTACCCAACCAATTTTTATCGCTTCTAATAGGCGAGGAATCATAATACGGCGTAATGTAAGATAATTCATGTTATATGAAACTTTAACATAAATCTATATCTAAGTTAGAGAAAACATGGCTCAGTGCACTCGCCTATAGTTGCCTCCAGACTTTGAGTATGAAACTTTTTGTTCGATGATTACTTTCGTCAGACATCTTTATCCAATTTGTGTCAAATAAAAAGGAACTAATTAATTGGTGCATAGAGTTTATGAAAATATAAAATGGAAGAAGATTAACTTTCTTAAAAATTATACTCCTCCTTTAACTCAAGTAACTAAATGAGAATCGAATTTAAAAAATCTAATATCAGATTGGACCGCACAGGCCGCTTTTACTACTTAAAAAATAGTATATGTTCTTAAATCTCTACATTCTCTACCTTTTAATTGATATCTCAAGGCGTTACTAAAACGTTACATCAAGATTGCGTTCTAAATTCTCAAACATCGATAACAGTAAAACAAAAATAATCGATACGTAAAGGAATATTAAGATAATTGAAATAGAATAGTGTGATATACAAACAAAAAGAGACGATAATCTTTTACTATTACGATTGAATTTTGTTTCGCACATTTTGAAAGGTAAAAGGCGCGTGCGCAGGCTTGCACGCATGCATCGTTAGTTCTTCGATTCGTAGATTAATAGTGAACGTATCATCACAGTGTTTATTGCGGACTGGTGAATACAACCGCAAGTAAAGAGCAATAAGTGAGTTGATTCCCGGTTGAGTACCTCCGATCAAGTCTCTACACGTAGGTACTTACGTACGTTACACGCCATCTTTATGACGTAATATTTTCCTATTTGTTACGACTAATTAGGAATAATTTACAGCAGCTTGAATCACGGTCAAGTGACTATTCAATCTAAAAAAGCGTATTATTTAAACTAGGTAAAGAATTATCGAGTCTATCGACTCAAATCAAGAAAGTAGCTGTGTCGAAATCACTTTGCTTATTTCTTTTGTAAGACTTTGTCTAATCTCTTGAGTTAAAGTTTTAGTAAAAAGTTCAGATTACCGATTTGTAATATCAAAATATTGTTGCCTTCTTCCAGATATAGGTTAAGAGCTGATTAGTAACTTCTAGACGGACGCTGAAGAGTTTTGTTTACACTATGGCCTATATGTAACTTTGAGAATAGAAAGAAAACGGGGAGTGGAATTCAATTTTACGATACAGAAATGATTTAATTTTTTATCGCAATTGTGTCGGATTTAACGCAGTTCCGAACTCGCTCGTGCCTAAGCTTTTTACGCGGCTAACACAAATCTTCTGAGCGTGAAATTTAATATTTCAAATGGTTTTGATCACGAACGCACAAATAAATGTTTCGTCTTAGCATACATTCTATATTCTAAATCTGTACCTACTTTTACATCGACCTATCGATGACTTTAGTATGACATACAATTTTGATCGTATATCGTAATTTAAATATTTTAATTTTATCTATTTTGATGCAATCTTATAACATTTTACCTTAATCTTTTTAAAATGAAGCTGAGTTTAACGGTTGTAACAAGTATAACGCAAAAGGTTCTATAATTAACTTTCTTGGGCGAGGATGTTATGAATTTTAGTGACGTCATAATAATCAATTCACAAATAGTGTTATCTTTTACCGCATAGGTAAACGTTCTACCGATTTATACAATATACGCAAAATCTAATTGTTAACTTGTTTATTCTGTAATGCGCTCTTCTAATGGCAGTTACTTTTGTTTGTTGTACAAATGTCTTCATACAAATAAGTTAAAACAAACTTCATTGCATTCGATATTATACGTTTCATTTTAATCAAAAACATGTCTTGGTTCATTTCGCTACATGTCTTATTTCGAGTTTTCTTCTAAGAGTCCATTTTTCTTCTTTTACAATCACTTTCGTGTAACTGTTGATTTCGGTGACAGTCTGTTATAAAACATGTCATCTAAATTAATGCTGGGACATATTACTT